GAGAATCAAAAAAATCTTATTTTCTTTTTTTCTTAATAGTTTTGATACAGACCAATTCTGTGCTAAAATACAAGTTTTTCTAATATATACAAATAAGTTGAAAGAAGTTCAAGATTTAATTGATAAACTTAATCTTAAAAATCCTTTAACTGCTGATGAATTTATTTAATATAATGAATTTGAACTTACAGAAATAATATTTAATAAAGAAATTTTAAAAGTAGTTCTTTCCAATAATCATAAACAAGAGGTAGAAGAATTAAATTCTGATTCTTTACCATCTATTTATTACTCATAGTGAAGTCATTAAATATTATAATAAGGTAATTTTATATTTAGAGCAACAAGAGGATAAATTCAATATGAAAAAAAAAAGAAATAAGATGCATTAAAAAACTTAAGAAGGAGATGTTAAAATAACATTTTATTTTTGCAAGACAAATGAATCTTAATAATTTACTAGGAAACGGAAATCGTTGTAAGTCCGGAGCGAAAGATTTTGTACAAAAATCCAAATATCTTTAAAAATTCAATTTGTACAAAAAATCTGGCGTCCCTAAAAAAAATAAAAAATGAAACGTTAGAAACATTTTTTTAAAGTCAAACAAATAAGAAAAGCCCCTCTTCACAATTTACCTTTAAAAGTCCGGCATATACAAAAAACCCGCGTCCCTAGAAATAATAATAAATGAAACGTTAGAAACGTTTCTTTAAAGCAAAACAAATAAAAAGACAACTTACCAGTCCAGTATATACAAGAAATCCAGAAACCCTAGAAAAAGAATAAGAAATAAATCAAAAACATTCCTTTGAAGTCAATTAAAAAAATATATACTCACTAGCCGAAACCAAACAAAAAAAGAGATTATCAGGTAATCATGTTTATCATAAACTTATTATGATTATTATTACACTTGTTTATTTTTGAAGTAGCACAAAATTTNTAAAAAATGAAACGTTAGAAACGTTTCTTTAAAGTCAAACAAATAAGAAAAGCCAATTTACCTTTAAAATCTGGCGTGTACAAAAATCCCGTGTCCCAGAAATAATAATAAGTGAAACGTTAGAAACGTTTCTTTAAAGCAAAACAAATAAAAAAACAACTTACCAGTCCAGTATATACAAGAAATCCAGAAACCCTAGGAAAAAAGTAAGAAATGAAACGTTAGAAACGTTTCTTTAAAGTTAAACAAATAAAAAACCCTCCACTTCCTAATTTACCTTTAAAGTCCAGTATGTACAAGAAATCCAGAAACCCTAGAAAAAGAATAAGAAATAAATCAAAAACATTCCTTTGAAGTCAATTAAAAAAAA